TCCCCTATACACTGAAGTACAGGTGGGCTGAACATGTAAATAGCATGCATTTAGATAAACCTACTGACCTGAAAGTATTCTGTAACTGGCTTGATAACCAGTGTTCCATTATGAGTATTTATTTTTGTCCACCTGAGGAGACACCGTGGAAGAGAAGTGACCCTAAACCATTTTGACTAGTTTAACCAATGAAAACGTTTGCATGTTTTGCTTGGAGAGTCATGAAACCGATAAATGTAAGCTTTTCAAAAAAAGCAGAAGTCGCGCAGCGATGGAAGATGATAATTGAGAAAAAACTGTGTTTCTTTTGCTTCCGTCGTCACCACATCAAATTTTGTAAGTTAAGGAAACCTTGTGGAATCAATGGGTGTAAACTATCCCACCATCGCCTTCTGCATACTGACAGTGCCTCAAAAAATGCCCAAGAGATCAGCCAGGACAGAGTATAGAACACTTTTAGGCAGGAAGGTAAATCAAAAGAAGAAGTTATAAGCAATCACTCAGTAAATAACTGTGTTTTACTAAGAGTATGTCCAGTGACGTTATATGGTCCAAGCTGTCAGATCGACACATATGCACTTTTAGATGACGGTTCAACCATATCTCTGCTAGATTCGACTACAGCCAATAAATTAGGCGTCAGTGGTAGCATTGAACCCCTTACCACTTGTTGGTCAAATACAACTAAACATTAACGTCCAGATGAGTTGAACTTAAAATAAAAGGACTCTACGAAGAAGTTTTCACATTAAATAATGTAAGAACTCAATCACCTCTAGATTTACCCCCAACAGTCGATTGAACCAGTAAAGCTTCGTGAGAGATGGCCTCATTTAAAGTCAATCGATCAACTCGTCATAGTTTATATCATAGTTTATTTACTTATGTTGTTAACAGAGGCCGACGATGGGTTTCGACGTAAACTCGAAATATACCTACACATTTTTTTGTAAATTGTGTATAAATTTATTTATATGATGAGTAGCCAACAAATCAAGATTAACATAAATAATACCATCAAGAAAAAAACATACCGGAATGAATCAATCGATCAACCTCTACCAGCATCTCATGCCAATCCTACCATTTTGATAGGTCAAGATAATTATGACTTGTTATTGACCAGAATAGTTATCGAAGGTCCGCCAAATGCTCCCGTACTGTCATGGAGCGGCTACCTAGGGTGGTCAATGCATGGCTAGTGTCCGGAATTTGCTGGACGTGTTGACGATTTCACCTTATTGTCCTTTGATCACAACAGATTACATGATTTGGTGAAAGGTTCCTTTGAAATTGACAACTACGGTGCATCTCCAGTAGAAAACAAATCAATAAAACCGGTAGAAGATGAATGTGCAATGTCAATCTTAGAAAAAACAACGAGGAAAATTGGAGAAAGTTATGAATCTGGCTTGTTGTGGAAATCAGATGATTTTAAATATCCCTCATGTTACGATAAAGCTCTTAAAAGACTAAAACACATTGAAGGGAAGATGGCAAAGGATCCTTCCTTTAAAGATGAATACACAAATAAGATTGCTGACTACAATGAAAAAGGGTACATTCGAAAACTAAGTGAAGATGAGGCAAGTATTTTAAATGATCATACTTATTATCTAACTCATTTCAGAGTTGTAAACCACAATAAGCCCAACAAATTAAGATTGGTCTTTGACGCAGCTGCAAAGTCGAACGGTGTATCATTTAATGACGCTCTTCTTAGTGGACCTGACCTTTTGAATCCATTACCAGCTGTTCTCGTAAAATGTCGTCTGGGAAAATTTGCCGTTGCTGGTGATATTAAGGAAATGTTCCATCAGGTACGCATAAGGAAAGAAGATGTAGATTCACAGAGATTTTTGTGACTCTGTCAATTCTGAGGAAGAAGCAAAGACTCAAGTAAAAGAAATAATGGAAATTCACAAATCAGGTGGATTTCAAATTTGCAATTGGCTATCAAATTCCAAAGATGTTTTCTCTGGAATTTCTGAAGAACTAAAATCAAATTCAACTAAGCAATTAAAACATGTAGCAATCTTCCCACCGAACGAGTTCTCGGAATGTGGTGGGATTCAGAAAGCGACAATTTCGTATTCCATTGCAATGCAGAAAAGTTGCAAAAAATGGAATCAAGTTATCCAAATAAACGTGAGGTTTTGAAGGCCGCGATGTCTATTTTTAATCCTTTGGGACTAGTCACCCCTACTACAATCAAAGGTCGAATATTAGTGCAAGAGATTTGGAGAACAAAAACAACATGGGATGAAGTACTAACAACAGGACTAACTAAAAAATGGCAAGAATGGTTGGAAGATGTTAAAAAACTACAATATTTACTATTCCGCGATCAAACCCCTTATGATAAATGAGGTTGAGCTTCATGTCTTTGTCGATGCAAGTGAAGAAGCGTACTCTGCTGTTGGATATCTAAGACATAAGAATGCTAACGAGAATACTGGATACAACACTATGTTGGTTATGTCGAGGGCAAAGGTAGTACCTCTAAAACCAACCACCATACCAAGTTGCGTTATGGTAATTCAGAGGTTTACAAGCCGGAAACCTTGCCCTTCTGAGATGTTTTCTGACAATGGAACAAATTTTGTAGGAACAGACAATGAACTTCGAAATGCTGTTAAATCTTTAAATAACGCCCAGTTTCAACGGACAGTCGTCAAGAGTGGGATTAAATGGAATTTCATTCCTCCCCGTGCGCCACACATGGGGGGATGTTGGGAGAGACTGATAAGGTCAGTAAAAACAGCATTGAAAAGTGTCATGAGATCCCAGTACCCTAAAGATGAAGAACTGCAGACGTTTTTGACTCGTGTGGAGTTTATTATTAACTCACGTCCACTCACACACGTATCAATTGACCCGTTTGACCCTGAGCCGATCACACCAAACCACTTTCTACGCGAAGCCTACAAAGTAAATATTGATACATGTAGATAAAATAAAGTAAATATTGAAAGTAATATTAAAAACTGAAACTGAAAGTAAGTGATATTTAAAATAGATATTGAATAGGCTATGTAAGAAACAACTAGCCCGTGTAAGATCACTTTTGGCAGGGCCGGTTTAACCCATACGCGAACTACGCGGCCGCATATGGCGCCACTAAAAAGTGGCGCCGTGGCGCCAACGGAACATTTTTTTTTTATGTGAACAACGTAATTTTGTTTATTTTTGCTCAGAGTTCAAGTATTCATAGCACCACAATATAGGCATTTATTCTGTTTGTACCAACAGCACTTGAAAATTTTGTATATTTGTACAGCACTACAACTCAAGGACTCAATGCCATTTGCAGTTTCGATTTGAACTGAGCTGACAGCTGACGCTCGGCAGTCGGCAGCGTCAGCACCAGCGCGGCACCTATGATGGGTTTCATTTCATGACTCATGCTCGAGATAAGCAAGCGCGCAGCGCCACTTGTCACAACAAGAAACTTCCCCTTTCTTTCACTCCTTTCTGCCTCTGATCCTAGAGCAGAGCACTACGTTGTATTGCACGTAGGCCTATACCGTATCGGTATCGTATTGGCATTGTTTTGATGATTCATGATTGTTGATAAGCGAATTATTACGAGTGTTTTAAGTTTAATTTATAATTAGCGCATTAAATAAAAAGAAAGTATAAACTGAATGAATGAGTAAAACATATTATTGCGAGTCGAAACTATGAAAACAATGGCAGACAAAAAGAAACCGTCTGGCACTTATAAGGCGAATTTGGAAGAGGAAGAAAAAAAAAACCAAATCAATGAGTAGACTTTTGTAGAAATCATTTGGTGGCGAGTCCAGTCAGCCCAAAGAAGTCACGATAGAAGACGGCAATGACGTAGGTATTTATTTATTTATTTTCCAAGGAAAGATTAGAACAAGCAGCTGATCACAAACGGCAAACATTCCGTCATTGCCGTCTTCTATCGTGACGTCATGCTTGACGAGCATACATTACGGCCTGTTTTTTTAGTGTGTCCTTGGTTTTGCTATAGTTTATATGATGAGTAAAAGTGTATAAATGTCACATTTCTGCGAATAAATAAACAGCCTTTTATTGCAAGTTAGTACTCTTCTACCTAAACTTATAAAAAAAAAAAAATTCTTCCCAAAATTATTGGGAAAAAATTCACAAATACGGTTAAGTTATGTTCATGGGTTTGGGGGGGGGGGAATTCTAAGTGGCGCTGATTCGGGTGTTCGCTTAACTCTAAAAAATTCCTAGAACCGGCCCTGACTTTTGGATAGTTTTTGGAAGCGTTGGGTCCACGAATACCTGCACTGTTTATCAAGACGTTGCAAGTGGCACAAAATAATAGAACCACCTCAAGTAGGGGACTTGGCTATATTAGTAGAAGAAGATAATCAAAGAAATTCATGGCCTCTTTGACAAATATCAGCCATTTACCCAAGTAAGGATGGCGTTATAAGAGTTGTGGACATAAAAACAACCAAAGGTACATTCCGGCGCCCACTTACCAAGGTCGCAGTTCTTGGGGGGGAGAAAATGTAATAATAATAATCCATGCCTGCCTTTTTCTTTATTTAAATTGAACTAACATATGTTTTATTTTATTCATTAATTTTTTTGTAAATAATGTCCAATTTTGTTGAATACATGTCTTTTATGAAGTCTATTAATTTTTGTCTTTTTTAAAGTCTTGTCTGCCTTTAATAATTTTAACAATTGGCTTTAAATTTGTTAGATTTTTAAGCTTTTTAAAACTAATTTTACGACAATTTATTTTTATGTCTGCAGCCCCCTGAGACCTGCGGCCCCTAGGCAGTTGCCTATAGTGCCTAATGGGTGGTAATCCGCCACTGGCCGAATTAGTGATTAAATTTTAACCACGGACGTCTTGCTACAAAAAAATAAGTAGGCCTATTTGAAAATCCATGAATATTGTACTTATTCAGGCTAGGATACTTAATACAATTTTGTGCACAAAAATTTATTAAAAGATAACAATGAAAATAAAGTGTGATCTTTTTCAGTGACAATAGAGGAGCCCAGCATCAACGAAACTGCTTAACATTTAAAGAGTCTTACAAAAAAAAAGTTTACAAATAGAGATAAGCATACAAGGCTTATTGACCCTTCTGATTAATTATGGGATAAGTTTATCTCATGCCTTTCACAAAGATAGAAAGTGGAAGAGTACAAATGTTGAAAAACATTAAAAAGCTTCCTCTTAAGTGTCCAATATGTGGAAAATTGTTTACAATTCGAGAAGAAATGAAGAATCATTTATTCAATCACACGGGCGAGCGACCCTTTAAATGTTTGACATGTGACAAAACCTTTATTCATTTAAAATATGTAAAGAGACATGTGTTGACACACACAGGGAAGTCTCCTTATAAGTGCACTCTGTGTGGAAAATCCTTTCCATTAAAAAAATATTTAAAGTCACATAAATTATGGGTTCATACAGAAGATAAACCTCATAAGTACACTTCATGTGGAAAATCCTTTGCCTTCAAATGCAATTTAAAGTCACATACATTGAGTTTTCATACAGAAGAAAAACCTTATAAGTGCACTGCATGTGGAAAATCTTTTACCTTCAAAAACAAATTGAAGTCACATACATTGAGTGTTCATACAGAAGAGAAACCTTATAAGTGCACTGAATGTGGAAAATCCTTTGCATTCCAATACATTTTGAAGTCACATACGTTGAATGTTCATACAGAAGAGACATCTTATAAGTGCACTCTATGTGGAAAATCTTTTGCATCTAAAGGCAATTTGAAGTCACATATATTGAGTGCTCATACAGAAGAGAAACCTTATAAGTGCACTGAATGTGGAAAACCATTTGCCTTCAAATCCAGTTTGAAGTCACATACATTGAGTATTCATACAGAAGAGAAACCTTACAAGTGCACTACATGTGGAAAATTATTTTCATTCAAAGGAAATTTGAAGTCACATACATTGAGTGTTCATAGAGAAAAGAAACCTTATAAGTGCACTGAATGTGAAAAATCCTTTGCATCCAAAGGCAATTTAAGGTCACATACATTGAGTGTTCATAGAGAAGAGAAACCTTATAAGTGCACTCTATGTGGAAAATCTTTTACCTTCAAAAACAAATTGAAGTCACATACATTGAGTGTTCATACAGAAGATAAACCTTATAAGTGCACTGAATGTGGAAAATCCTTTGCATTCCAATACATTTTGAAGTCACATACGTTGAGTGTTCATACAGAAGAGAAATCTTATAAGTGCACTCTATGTGGAAAATCTTTTGCATCTAAAGGCAATTTGAAGTCACATATATTGAGTGCTCATACAGAAGAGAAACCTTATAAGTGCACTGAATGTGGAAAACCATTTGCCTTCAAATCCAGTTTAAAGTCACATATATTGAGTGTTCATAATGAAGAGAAACCTTATCATCATTGCACTTTATGTGGAAAATCCTTTGCATCCAAAGGCAATTTGAAGTCACATACATTGAGTGTTCATAGAGAAGAGAAACCTTATAAGTGCACTGAATGTGAAAAATCCTTTGCATCCAAAGGCAATTTAAAGTCACACACATTGAGTGTTCATAGAGAAGAGAAACCTTATAAGTGCACTCTATGTGGAAAATCCTTTGCATTCAAAGGCAATTTGAAGTCACACACATTGAGTATTCATACAGAAGAGAAAGCTCACATGTGCACTACATGTGGAAAATTCTTTTCATTCAAAAATAAATTGAAGTCACATATATTGAGTGTTCATACAGAAGAGAAAACTTTTCATTGCACTTCATGTGGAAAATCCTTTGCATCCAAAGGCAATCTGAAGTCACATACATTGAGTGTTCATAGAGAAGAGAACCCTTATAAGTGCACTGAATGTGGAAAATCATTTGCCTTCAAATCCATTTTGAAGTCACATATATTGAGTGCTCATACAGAAGAGAAACCTCACAAGTGCACTGAATGTGGAAAATCATTTGCCTTCAAATCCAGTTTGAAGTCACACACATTGAGTGTTCATACAGAAGAGAAACCTCACAAGTGCACTGAATGTGGAAAATTCTTTTCATTCAAAAGTAATTTGAAGTCACATATATTGAGTGTTCATACAGAAGAGAAAACTTTTCATTGCACTTCATGTGGAAAATCCTTTGCATCCAAAGGCAATCTGAAGTCTCATATATTGAGTGTTCATAGAGAAGAGAAACCTTATAAGTGCATCTCATGTGGAAAATCCTTTGCATCTGTTTACTTTTTGAAAAGGCATGTGAAAAATCATATGGACCCAAAGAATTGTAAAAGACATGTATTAATTGTTGGTAATAAGCATCCTCTTAAGTGCACTACATATCTTTTGCACCATAAAGCCATATAAAGGAACATACAATGTCTCATGAAGGAGGGAAACCTTATATTCACACTACAAGTAGAAAATCTTTAAAAACTGCAGTTACATGTCATTGATATTATTATTATATCCCTTAATTTTAGTTAGGCTATAAATGTTGTTTTTATTTATTGCTGTATAAAAAAACTATGAAACCTGATCGCTCCACTAAACTGGCTTTCACTGTAATGAAAGCAAACCTAGTAACTGTTTTTGTACTGTAACAGAATATCTGAGACTTATTATTTATGTAAATATATAGCCTTATTACATAATTGTTTTTGTAATAAAGAACAATAAAGGTACAAACCTTAGATAGTAATTTATCAGTCCAAAATCAAAATAAATACCACTAGTAATTTTGTTAAACTCCTTTAGACTAAGTATGACAGATTTACCACAACATCTATTCAGGTAAATAAAATTAGAGTTCTTACTGTACATTGCTCAGAATTATATATATATTTTTTTCATTTTATACATTAAAGAAGCTGAAACAAATCTTAACTTAATTTTCTGTCTGCCTGTTTGTCTGTCCCTCATGACCCAGCTAGAGTACTGATCGTGATTATAATATGTAGCTTAATTGTATTCACAGGATTAGCGAGAGTGTCTTTAGTCATTAAAATATGGCCTCACCATTTTGGAAATAAAATAACTCACCATCAAAAACCTAATTTTGTGCGATTTTTTTTAAGTTTTCTCTCTATTTTTACTATATACATCATCTATGAAATACTATTCATCTGTTCTATGAAATTACGAACAGCTGTTTGGATAATGATTTATTTTCCTAGCTGTTATTTATATGTTTACATTAAATGTTTTTTACGAATACTGCGTAATCACTTCCAATCACGTTTGTAAGCAAATCCAAAACGATGTGAGATTATAAACCTTGTGGCTTACATAACGGGTTTGATTGATCGCAAGTACAATAATATGTAGCTGTAAATAAAATTAAACAACTAGCCATCAACCAGGTCTGGAGCGGGAATCAGTGTTGTATAGTAATAATAATGTCCTATAATAGGTTTGCAAGCATATCTGGAAAAATGCACATCTTTTAAAATATGCAATCCATCTGTTGATCTGAATATAATAAGGTTTGAACTGACTAAAAAATGATCCCTCTACGTAGAACGGGCACACAGCTAGTAGATTATAAATACCAAATCAAAATGTATGATGTCCTTTGATTAACACATAAATCAATAATATTGAAAAATGTGGGGTTACAGCAAAGAACCTGTTTTTTATTATAGGATGAAATTTTAATTCAATTATATCTTACTCCATATAAATTTTGATGTTTGTCATGGGTCTTTCCAAGAAGAAGGCCACCCGCCACCCCACCATTCATTCACAGTGTGCTGCAGCTATTACTCATGAAAAAAGAGGGCATAAAATGTCACAATTACAAATTGATGTAGTTTGTCTCTTCAACAATCGTAAATAAATTTAGTCCAGTCAATCCGTTGTAAACATCGCCCTCTTGTGCTGAATGCAGGGACGTAACTAGGGGGGGGCACGCGGGGCATGAGCCCCGGGCGCCAGTTGTTGGGGGCGCCAACACGGGCTCAGATTTTTTCAAACAAAAATTGAAAATATTTTTAATCCATCTTGTGTTGCAAAAGAAAATCATAATTTTTGTTATTCTTATATAAGTCTAAGAAAGTACAAAGTGAAATTATTAATGCTATCTGACTGCTATTATACTGTTTACGAATCATGTTTACGGTCCGTGTGAACTTGTACGGAGAGAGTATGAGGATGAGCATACTGCGTTGTCTGTCTGTCGTCGAAGTGTCACTACACTAGGACGGCGCCGGCGCAGCGTCAGAACACTTCCACCCCCCTCCTGGCAAACACCTACCCCTCCACTCATCATCCCTCACACCAGTCACCACACTATGACCTTAACTAACTGCGTATGTTGTGCACTAGTGTAGTTGACAACAGTTCATACTCAATGTCAGTTGACAATCAATGTCAACTAAACTCTCTTGTAAAATGGCGTTTGCCGTGCATGTAATAAATAAATAAATATAAATACTTCATTCTACTCGTAATCAGTGGTTAAGGACACGAAATGTGGTTGCGGTGCTGTTTCTTTGCGTGTTACTAGCAATATTATTTTCGTGAATGATTTCGTTTTCAAATAAAATAATAAAATACGTACCAGTACCGTACAAAAATCAAAATCAATATTCTTTCGCTAACCTATTCAATATTAAAAAACAATTTTCCAAAATATTTTGTAGATGATTTTAGGTTTGTAGCTGAAGAAAGTGTTAGATACTCACTCCATGCATCATTAACTTTGCGTATGCCTCACCATAGGACCGCAGTTACGACAGGGCGTTTGTTGTAACTGTTTGTCGTCTTTGGAACGATCTCCCTTTATCTATTAAAACCCTTGATAGTCGTTCCTGGTTTGTGGCAGCACTAAAAAATCTCTATTTTGAACGCATGGCCATGGTAGATTTGTCCTAGGGGCTTGTGCGCATCGGCGATCATCGACACGTATGTGTGTGTGTGTATAAGTATTTGTAAAATAATATAAAATTTACTGATTTTTGTTTACAGTTTCTGTATCTATGATTTCTGTTTTGTTTAATTGTATAAACCGATTATGTTAAAATATTTTAAAGTACAGGTTAAGTGTACAGTAAGAAAGGGCCATGTGGCCCTAACTTTGCCTGTGTAGATAAATGATTTTTCATTTCATTTTCATTTTTTACCGTGCTGTATTCAATATTTTACCACATATATCTAGGCCTTAGTACTTTGAACTTGAGGTTAAGCATTTTAAGATCTAAATAGTATTAATGTATTGTAACGATGGACACACCACACATTTTTAAAGAAGATTTGTAAGGAATTAGTTTCAGTCCAATTGAGGGGGGGGGGGGCGCCAAAATAGTTGTTTGCCCCGGGTGCTGAATAGCCTAGTTACGTCCCTGGCTGAATGTAATAAATAATATTAGAGAGGTAGATTTCCATGGTCATGATTAACATTTTATTCATACAAGTTTATATTAACTATATCTAAATTTAAGTTCTTGATCAGCATCGTATGTGTTACTGTATTTAATTACCTGAAAGCACAAAAAATATGTTAAATAACACTTAACAATATATTTACACATATACTGTTTACTCACGAGACGGTAAATACATATAAAAGATGGTAAGTGGTGATCGATTTTGATTGGTCACTCCAATCATCATCAGACCCAATAGGCAAATCTTAGTATGCTTTATTATCTTAGTAACTCTGCCATTCACATATTGAGTCTGATGATGATTGGAGTGTCCAATTGAAATCGATCACCACTTACCATTTTTTATATGTATTTACAGTCTTGTGAGTAAAAAGTAAAAGTGTAAATATATTATTAAGTGTTATTTGATGTATTTTTGGACTTTCAGGTAGGCCTTATTATATCTACATAATTTACATAATTTACAAATTGTACACACAATCAAGTACTCAAACTCATGTATAAAAATTTGAACGAATGGTGTTTTTGGCCTCTGGGGACATCAAAATGAAAAAGTAAATCAGTCCTGGGCCTAGGTCTTACCGTGCCACCTACGGTAATAGCTACTTCCCTATAGGGAAATTCGCTAAAAGTTGTCAGACCATACACATTCCTGTTTTAATTAGATTTCTTATTCTTATTCTTACAGTGCGACCATGCCCGTCACACTATGTAACATTGAACTCAAGGTTTTCTGTGTTGGGTAAAAAAAGTGTTATTTATTTCTATACTAGCAGAGTACCCGTCCTTCATATGGGGTTGGCATATAAGTATAAAATGTTTATTGCAGTAATACTCAAGCTTTGCGTTTGTGTTATGAAAAGAAAAAGACAAATACACAAATTCTTTATTGAAATATTCCTAGAGAACATGCATGCATCAGGTACAACTATTACAATCATTTGCAATTACAATTTAGCATTTTTTTATAGTAGCTTATTGTTTAGAAATTCATCCTCTGAGTAGAACGGCCGGTCCATAAGCCATGTTGTCAGGTGCTATTTGAACAGATTGGGTTGTTCTCTCTTAAGGTGGTGTGTGTTCGAAATGTTTAGAAACCAGATTTATATAGTTTTGTTCAATTAATACATTGCCACATGAAATTCAAATATATGGTAACTTTCTACCTTGGAACCCTGATGACCAGGCCATAAAATATCTTGGAGTATGGCTGGACAAAAAACTTAATTGGAACTACCACGTTAATCAAAAACTGTCCCAAGGTTATGCACGCCTTGCAAAGCTTTTCCCTTTAATCAATAGGAAATCTACTCTGAAGCCAGCTTGTACAGTTCTAATCTATAAATCAATAATTCGGCCCTTGATTACATATGCATCTCCTATCTGGGGATTAGCTATATCAAAAAACAAACTCTTCAAAATTCAAGTGATTCAAAACAAAATTCTAAGAATAGCGGTGAATGCTCCCTGGTTTGTTAGAAACAGGCATATACATGAAGAACTAGGAGTGGAGTCTATCTCGGCCTTTATTGAAAAAACCACCTCAAAATTTCTAAAATCTTTAAACGATGTTCCTGGTGCATTAACTTTTCATCTTGGTGAAGCAACTGAGAACAGGAGGCTACGTCGAAGGCTCCCTCAAGATCTATTGGAGGAATGAAGCCTAAAGAAGATTAAATTATTCTCTAAATTTAAAAAGTAGGGATTTGAAAGGAAGTAGGCTTACACTTTTAAATCAGTTTATATTTTCAAACTAAATCATAGAGTTGCCGTATTTTAAAAGACACATCAGAATTACTTTAAGAGCTCTTTAGGTCACATTTTCTTCCCGTTGCAAAGCACGGGTATAGCAGCTTGTTTCTTATTAATTTTGTTAACACTTCTGTGTATAATGTCTACATTGAACCAGAAATAAATGATGCTGTAAAAAAAAAAAATCTGCTACATTTAAATGAGAGAATTAAGACAAACAGTCTTAAATAAAACAGCTGATGAAATATTTGACAGTAGAATAGAAATCATATAACATAACATTCACCCCTTTTTTTTATAATGTAATCTCTTAGATAGGTGGGAGGTCTTCGGACTCTAGTGGAACGATGCGGGTTTGTTTCTTTGTTATTCCTCACAGTCTCATGCAGAGGGGATGTTTTGATTTTAGATTGAATAAAGTTCCGAATTCCAGGTTGAAACAGGTTATATTCACGTCTCATGTCTTGAAGAACAGGATCTAGTTCTTGACTGGGATTTTCCGAAGTCCCCTCATGCTCATGCTCATCCTCTTGTTGGATAGCTTCAGGAGGTACAGCGAGATGTCACACCGATACCAGAGCCTCTCTACCATCTCTATACTTGATGCGAGCATAGCCTGGATTAGCCTCTATCAGCTGAGCTTGTTCCACTAAAGGTTCATATTTGTTATTTCTTACATGACTTCTCACTAATACTGGTCCTGGATTCATGAGACATTGAGGTTAAGAGGTGCCATAAAATGACCGTCTCTGGTGTTTTAAAAGATGTTCATGCGGGGTCTCATTCAAAGCTATACATAGTAAGTGTAACGAGCGTATACAATGAAACTCTTCTGGCAAAACATACTCCCACTGTTCTGTCTTCAGTCCCTTGTTTTTCAGAAGAAGAGATACAGTCTTCCAAATCGTTCCATTATATCGCTGAGCTTAAGAACTACCTCGAGGGTTATAAGGTGAAGATCGGCTAGTGGCGATTCCTTTTAAGTGTAAGAAATCACTCAGTTCTTGTGACATGAAAGCAGAACCTTGGTCGGAGTGGACAAAAGCAGGCATGGCCCCCACATTTAATTGTGGGCCCTGTTACCAGGATCTGGCTCGGGCCCCCCTACCAACCGGGGGGTCGGGGGGGTATGGAATACCCCCCAGCATAGAGGGGGGGGGTCCGGGGGTCCCCCCCGGGAAAATTTTGAAAATGTCATGTATTTTAGTGAGTTTTTAAGGCAATCTAGGTATTAAATTTGTGAGTGGTAAATGGCACTTTTGCAGCCTTTTTTAAGGAAGAAAAGAGTTCTTCAATGAGTTTTATAAGACTTAAAATTACAGGAATTCAGCAATTAAAACTATTATATCAATACACAAAAGCTCCATGCCTATTAATATTTTGTCCTTTTTATTTCCCTGTAAGAGGGTTTGGCTATCTTAACTGCTATAATTGTACTTTGTAATATGGAGTAGGAAAAAACTTACGTAAATTGAGTTTAACAGCTTACACCAATGAAATCATATTTTATTCAGTGACAATTTTCATCAAGAATTTTAACAATACTACATTTTTTGGGAGTGGATGCCTGAGCTGCCGAACTTGCGCCGAGTAGTCACGGAGAAAAACAAATGTGCACGAGTAATGCCGAGAATGACCGATGCTATCCAATCCATGCTTTAGTACAGTATTATACCGAGCAAATTGGGAAGAAAACTTAGGTCAAAATTATTAGGCCTACAATCTTTCATATTTTTAAAACTCCAAAAGTAAAGAATTTTTAAGTTTGTGTCAAATAACCTAGATTGCAATAATTATTAATTGAAATATTCCATACATAAAAGTGCAACCGGGACCAAATGTTGATAAAACAGGACAAATAAGCGTCCCGAGAGGATTTGTCGGGACGGACCAGTCCCCCTAAAACGGGACGTCTGGTCACCTTAGCTATGGTACATAGTACATGTCAATTTTTCAATGCTTTACAAATTTTATTTTAACTTATAACTATAAGGATTCATTCTTGAAACTATCAGTTCAATTATAAAACCAAACTTTGTTTATTATGGGGGGAATGAGGTAGGAGTGGCTAGGCGCCTGGCGGGAGGAAGGGGTAGAGGGAGTTTGTGGAGCCGGCCACTGGGGCCCGAGCTGGCTGTTCTGCTGTTGTATAGTACATACGCACCTACGCACCTATAGAATTTAAATATAAACTTCCTTAGAATCAAGAATTAATACATTTTAAATTATTTAACTTTGTTTTTTGTAAAATATTTAAATATTATTTTTTTATCTTCAATTTATGAGCTGTAAAGTGATCTTCAATGGGGAAAAAAATAAAAAACAAATGGGTAGGCCCGGGCCCCCTGAGGGCCCGGGCCCTGTGACTAGAGTTGCGCCAGCCCCACCCTTGTGGGGGCCATGAAGCAGGCATACCAAAGATGGTGAAGATTGATGTAAGTGCTTTGATGACAGAAGATGCTGATGTGTCTGACCAAGGAATAGCAATCCGATATCTTGAAAACTCATCAACATCCGTCAGTATATATTTACTCCTTGTCACATGACAAGGATGGTATTGGCCCCTTAAAATCAATGTTAAGTCTCTCGAAAGGAGCAATTGCATGGATGAGGGTTGATGGGGTTTTTTGGTAGAACCGAGGTTTCACTTCTGCACAAACAGATCATGAAGCGGTCATTCGTCTGACATCTTCGATAGAGTAAGGGAGATTTTTAATTTTTTCTGAGTATAGATCAGTCTGGCTTAGTCTGCAGTTTTGCTGAGGCGGGGGTATTAAATGAGAAGCTCATGGCTAATTCCCACGACATCATATCACACCACCTTTTGCAACGCTAAATAAATCCCCTATCTTCTAACCAGTCCATACGATGTCTTAGCCTGGTCCTCCTAACACCTATGCTCCTGTGCGGCCTTCTAAGCCGTGGTATTGTAGTGTGTTGTTATTTACAATAACCTACTGTAATTCCTGAGAATAGATCAATCCCGCTTAGTCTGTAGGTTTGCTGTGGCCGTTTGTTGTATTTTTACATTATACTAGCTTACGCTAAAGAATTATTTACAATCTTAAATCATTACAGGTCACAGGGTGCAAGGCATGATGAGTAGAAGCTCTTAATACTACGTCTTATGTCTGACTAGGCCCATAACAGGTAATAACTACTATTATTGTATTATTAGTTATTACCATGGAAGACTATTGGGTTTATAAGTATTTTTTGTATAGCAGACCTTTAAATCTCATCAAAAGGCATAGTTTTAAAGAGGTTTAGGGTCTTTGGCCAGGAGACAGCACCTTAGATTAACTCTCTTTATCAGGTCTAAGGTGCATTTTTATGTTTTAAGATTTAATTGTGATTCAGTTTACAATTTTGATCCCATTTGTTTTTTTTGTTTTTTTAGTTAAAACAAAGGTTTACTGAGAATATGTCTATTTGATCTTTATTACTTGTATACTATAAATTTAGATATTCTTTACCCTTAGTGTTACTGAAAGGACAGTTCTCATGGGAAAGATTTGAGACCAATGATCATGTGTCTAAATAAAATGATCTCCTGAATTTAAATCGAATATCACAGTAAATGGTCTGTTTTAACAAGTTTTTGGAGACGTCGGTTAACCGAAAAAACCGTTATCCGGACTGGCCTCGGTCCCGAGGAGTCCCAATAAGAGGGAGTCAACTGTTGGTACAATACCATGTTTTTGGTGCTATGTGATTGTAATAATAACAAAGAATTGTTTAAGGTGTAAAATAGAATCAGAGGCGGATTATGACCTCAGCCGCCCCTAGGCACATGTAAACTTGGGTCGCTCCATGGGTGTCATTTTAGACTTTTAACTAGGGTGGCAAGATCTACCGGGTGGTCTAGGGGGTATTACCCCTTGGGGGTCTGGAAACCCTCCCACAGTATATTTTTAGAAACTGGCTTTAGATTTGTTAGATTTTTAAGCTTTTTAAAACTATTTTTACGACTATTTTATTTTTATTTTTCTGTCTGCGGCCCCCTGAGACCTGCGGCCCCTAGGCATTTGCCTATAGTGCCTAATGGGTAATCCGCCACTGGACAGAATTAGTGATTCAATTTTAACCACGGACATTTTGCAACAAAAAAAAAGAAGTATTTGAAAATTCATGAATATTGTACTTATTCAGGTCAGGATACATAACTCAATCTTGTGCACCGATATTAATGAATAAATAACTGTGAAAATAAAGTTTGATCTTTTTCAGTGACAATAGAGGAGCCCAGCATCCACAAAACTGCTTATCATTTAAAGAGTCTTACAAAAAAAAAGAAATTTACCAATAGAGATAAGCATACAAGGCTTATTGACCCTTCTGATTTGTTATGGGATAAGTTTATCTCATGCCTTTCACAAAGATGGAGAGTGGAAGATTACTTATGTTGAAAAACATTAAAAAGCTTCCTCTTAAGTGTCCAATATGTGGAAAAATGTTTAAGATTCGAAAAGAAATGAAGGAGCATGTATTAAATCACACGGGAGAGCGTCCCTTTAAATGTTTGACATGTGACAAAACCTACATTAATTTACATTATGTAAAGAGTCATGTGTTGACACACACAGGGAAGTCTCCTTATAAGTGCACTCTATGTGGAAAATCTGTTACATCAACAGGCAATTTAAGGTCACATACATTGTGTGTTCATACAGAAGAGAAACCTTATAAGTGCACTGAATGTGGAAAATCCTTTTCATTCAAAACAAATTTGGACTCTCATACATTGAATGTTCATACAGAAGAAAAACCTTATAAGTGCACTGAATGTGGAAAATCCTTTACATTAAAAACAAATTTGGACACTCATACATTGAGTGTCCATACAGAAGAGAAACCTTATAAGTGCACTGAATGTGGAAAATCATTTGCATCCAAAAGCAATTTGAAGACACATACATTGAGTATTCACACAGAAGAGAAACCTTATAAGTGCACTGAATGTAGAAAATCATTTGCCTTCAAATCCATTTTGATGTCACATAGATTGAGTGCTCATACAGAAGAGAAACCTTATAAGTGCACTTCATGTGGAAAATCATTTGCCTTGAAATCCAGTTTGAAGTCACATACGAGTGTTCATACAGAAGAGAAAACTCACAAGTGCACTACATGTGGAAAATCATTTTCATTCAAAGGAAATTTGAAGTCACATACATTGAGTGTTCATACAGAAGATAGACCTTATAAGTGCACTGAATGTGGAAAATCCTTTCTATTCCAATACCTTTTGAAGTCACATAAATTGAGGGTTCATACAGAAGAGAATCCTTATAAGTGCACTGAATGTGGAAAATCCTTTTCATCCAAAAGTAACTTGAAGTCACATACATTGAGTGTTCATACAGAAGAGAAACCTTATAAGTGCGGTGAATGTGGAAAATCATTTGCCTTGAAATCCCGTTTAAAGTCACATACATTGAGTGTTCATACAGAAGAGAACCCTTATAAGTGCACTGAATGTGGTAAATCCTTTTCATTCAAAAATAATTTGAAGTCACATATATTGAGTGTTCATACAGAAGAGAAACCTCACAAGTGCACTACATGTGGAAAATCCTTTTCATTCAAAAATAATTTGAAGTCACATATATTGAGTGTTCATACAGAAGATAGACCTCATAAGTGCACCCTATGTGGAAAATCATTTGCCTTGAAATCCCGTTTGAAGTCACATACATTGAGTGTTCATTCAGAAGAGAACCCTTATAAGTGCACTGAATGTGGTAAATCCTTTGCATTCCAATACATTTTGAAGTCACATACATTGAGTGTTCATACAGAAGATAGACCTCATAAGTGCACTGAATGTGGAAAATCCTTTCTATTCCAATACCTTTTGAAGTCACATAAATTAAGAGTTCATACAGAAGAGAAACCTTATAAGTGCACTTCATGTGGAAAATCATTTGCCTTGAAATCCAGTTTGAAGTTACATACGAGTGTTCATACAGAAGAGAAAACTCACAAGTGCACTACATGTGGAAAATCATTTTCATTCAAAGGAAATTTGAAGTCACATACATTGAGTGTTCATACAAAAGATAGACCTTATAAGTGCACTGAATGTGGACAATCCTTTCTATTCCAATACCTTTTGAAGTCACATAAATTGAGTGTTCATACAGAAGAGAACCCTTATAAGTGCGCTGAATGTGGAAAATCATTTGCCTTGAAATCCCGTTTGAAGTCACATACATTGAGTGTTCATACAGAAGAGAACCCTTATAAGTGCACTGAATGTGGTAAATCCTTTGCATGCAAAGGCAATTTGAAGTCACATACATTGAGTGTTCATACAGAAGAGAAACCTTATAAGTGCACTGAATGTGGTAAATCCTTTGCATGCAAAGGCAATTTGAAGTCACATACATTGAGTGTTCATACAGAAGAGAACCCTTATAAGTGCACTGAATGTGGTAAATCCTTTTCATCCAAAGGCAATTTGAAGTCACATACATTGAGTGTTCATACAGAAGAGAAACCTTATAAGTGCACTGAATGTGGTAAATCCTTTGCATGCAAAGGCAATTTGAAGTCACATACATTGAGTGTTCATACAGAAGAGAACCCTTATAAGTGCACTGAATGTGGTAAATCCTTTGCATGCAAAGGCAATTTGAAGTCACATACATTGAGTGTTCATACAGAAGAGAAACCTTATAAGTGCACTGAATGTGGTAAATCCTTTGCATGCAAAGGCAATTTGAAGTCACATACATTGAGTGTTCATACAGAAGAGAACCCTTATAAGTGCACTGAATGTGGTAAATCCTTTTCATCCAAAGGCAATTTGAAGTCACATACATTGAGTGTTCATACAGAAGAGAACCCTTATAAGTGCACTGAATGTGGTAAATCCTTTTCATCCAAAGGCAATTTGAAGTCACATACATTGAGTGTTCATACAGAAGAGAACCCTTATAAGTGCACTGAATGTGGTAAATCCTTTGCATGCAAAGGCAATTTGAAGTCACATACATTGAGTGTTCATACAGAAGAGAAACCTTATAAGTGCACTGAATGTGGTAAATCCTTTGCATGCAAAGGCAATTTGAAGTCACATACATTGAGTGTTCATACAGAAGAGAACCCTTATAAGTGCACTGAATGTGGTAAATCCTTTGCATGCAAAGGCAATTTGAAGTCACATACATTGAGTGTTCATACAGAAGAGAAACCTTATAAGTGCGCTGAATGTGGAAAATCATTTGCCTTGAAATCCCGTTTGAAGTCACACACATTGAGTGTTCATACAGAAGAGAAACCTCACTAGTGCACTACATGTGGAAAATCCTTTTCATTCAAAAATAATTTGAAGTCACATATATTGAGTGTTCATACAGAAGATAGACCTCACTAGTGCACTACATGTGGAAAATCCTTTTCATTCAAAAATAATTTGAAGTCACATACATTGAGTGTTCATACAGAAGAGAAACCTTATAAGTGCACTGAATGTGGTAAATCCTTTGCATGCAAAGGCAATTTGAAGTCACATACATTGAGTGTTCATACAGAAGAGAACCCTTATAAGTGCACTGAATGTGGTAAATCCTTTGCATGCAAAGGCAATTTGAAGTCACATACATTGAGTGTTCATACAGAAGAGAAACCTTATAAGTGCGCTGAATGTGGAAAATCATTTGCCTTGAGATCCCGTTTGAAGTTACATACATTGAGTGTTCATACAGAAGAGAACCCTTATAAGTGCACTGAATGTGGAAAATCCTTTGCATTCCAATACATTTTGAAGTCACATACATTGAGTGTTCATACAGAAGATAGACCTCATAAGTGCACTGAATGTGGATCCTTTTCATTGAAAAATAATTTGAAGTCACATATATTGAGTGTTCATACAGAAGAGAAACCTTATCATTGCACTTCATGTGGAAAATCCTTTGCATGCAAAGGCAATTTGAAGTCACATACATTGAGTGTTCATACAGAAGAGAACCCTTATAAGTGCACTGAATGTGGTAAATCCTTTGCATGCAAAGGCAATTTGAAGTCACATACATTGAGTGTTCATACAGAAGAGAAACCTTATAAGTGCGCTGAATGTGGAAAATCATTTGCCTTGAAATCCCGTTTGAAGTCACACACATTGAGTGTTCATACAGAAGAGAAACCTCACTAGTGCACTACATGTGGAAAATCCTTTTCATTCAAAAATAATTTGAAGTCACATATATTGAGTGTTCATACAGAAGATAGACCTCACTAGTGCACTACATGTGGAAAATCCTTTTCATTCAAAAATAATTTGAAGTCACATACATTGAGTGTTCATACAGAAGAGAAACCTTATAAGTGCACTGAATGTGGTAAATCCTTTGCATGCAAAGGCAATTTGAAGTCACATACATTGAGTGTTCATACAGAAGAGAACCCTTATAAGTGCACTGAATGTGGTAAATCCTTTGCATGCAAAGGCAATTTGAAGTCACATACATTGAGTGTTCATACAGAAGAGAAACCTTATAAGTGCGCTGAATGTGGAAAATCATTTGCCTTGAGATCCCGTTTGAAGTTACATACATTGAGTGTTCATACAGAAGAGAACCCTTATAAGTGCACTGAATGTGGAAAATCCTTTGCATTCCAATACATTTTGAAGTCACATACATTGAGTGTTCATACAGAAGATAGACCTCATAAGTGCACTGAATGTGGATCCTTTTCATTGAAAAATAATTTGAAGTCACATATATTGAGTGTTCATACAGAAGAGAAACCTTATCATTGCACTTCATGTGGAAAATCCTTTGCATCTAAAGGCAATTTGAAGTCACATACATTGAGTGTTCATAGATAAGAGAAACCTTATAAGTGCATCTCGTGTGGAAAATGCTTTGCATCTGTTTACTTTTTGAAAAGGCATGTGAAAAATCATATGGATCCAAAGAATTGTAAAAGACATGTATTAATTTTTGGCAATGAGCATCCTCTTAAGTTGACAACATGAAGAAAATCTTTTGCATCATAAAGCCATATAAAGGAACATACTTTGTCTCATGAAGGAGGGAAACCTTATATTCACACTACAAGTAGAAAATCTAAAAAGAAAACTGCAACGTTACTTGTCATTGATATTATTATATTATATCCATTCATTCTAGTTAGGCTATAAACGTTGTTTTTATTTATTGCTTTATAAAAAACTATGAAACCTGATCGCTCCACTCAACTGGCTTTCACTGTAATGAAAGCAAACCTAGTAAGTGTCTTTGTACTAAAACAGAATATCTGAGACTCATTATTTATATAAATAATCAGCCTTATACCTTATACCTTATATAATTGTTTTTGTCATAAAGAACAGTAAAGGTACAAACCTTAGATAGTAATTTATCAGTCCAAAATCAAAATAAATACCACTAGTAATTTTGTTGAACTCCTTTAGACTAAGTATCACAGATTTACCACGACATCTATATAGGTAAATAAAATTAAGAGTTTTTACTGTATATTGCTCATAATTATATACTGTATATATATTTTTTTACATTTTATACATTAAAGAAGCCGAAACAAATTATCTTAATTTCTGTCTGTCTGTCTGACCTTCATGATCCAGCTAGAGTACCAATCGTGATTATAATATGTAGTTTAATTGTATTCACAGGATTAACGAGAGTGTCTAACCATAAAATATGGCCTCACCATTTTGGAAATAAAATAACGTACGATAAAAAATCCAATTTTGTGCGATTTTTGTCAAGTTTTCTCCTTATGTTTACTACATACGTCATCTATGAAATACTAATCATCTGTTACACGGTAAACGTCATCTATGAAATTTCAAACACCTGTTTGGATAAAGATTTTTTCCTAGCTGTGATTGATACGTTTACACTAGGCGTATGCTCATTAAGGCATAACGATGGGTTAAAATCATGAGGTTTATTGAGCAATAACATTTACTCATGTTTTTGTGTTGAAATCTATAATCTTCTATATTTATAAAAGAGGAAGTTTGTATGTATATGTATATTTGAACGTTAAGAGTTCGGACACCGTTGGACCGATTGCCACGAAACTTGGTACATACATGTAGAATTTCATGGAATAGGTCACCATCAATTTTGTGATCTATCCAATCGGTCTGCCCCAGTGGCTCTAAAGTTTCCCCATGTTAACCTTATGAGTACTTGATTTAAATGGAATTAGTTTCAACTAAACAATTTGATTCTGTGATGTTTAATAGCATTAAAAAGTTAATAGGTTTACCAACAGGGTGCAGCGCCATTATTTTTTTTTAATTTATGACAACAGCTAATTTGTACCATGCAGAAACAAAAAACTGTGATACATGGAATGGATGGATTTTTTACAGTAAATGTTTATGTAGCCAGTTAATACTAATAGTAAATTAATAAAAGTCTATCTACATACAGAAGATCTAGGGAACATAATATTTGTTCTATTTAGCGTTCTCAAGCTGCTTGCAATTATTTTAAAGGAACCAAAATTGTCTCTTCCGCATCTTGACCCCGTTGCAAGGCATGGGTATAGCGGCTAGTATTTTTTATAAAAATATGTATTTGTAAATAAGGTTATTTGTTTACATTGAAGCTCACTCCGCTCAATTGTCAGACATGAGGCATACCTAGTTATTTTTGGACCACCGATACAATGATACTTTTATGAATGGTTATAATTAACTCATAACTTACACTTTAACTTAGTCAACCAAAAAGTGTTGACTAAAGGCCCTGTACACATGAGGGCGGCAGCCGCCGCGGTGGCCGCAGCGGCGGCCGCCTAGGACCGTACACATGGCAGCGGTTGGAGCCGCGGTTACGCTGCGGTTGCGGTGTGAATTGACCGTCGCTCGACAGCCAGTACTGTATTCAGCCAATTATTTTTCTTTTAAACGCGTAACGCTTGACAATTCTTTTCAGCAAAAAACTCAACTAACTCTCGCTTCGCAATCTTTTTTAGTTTATGTCCTAAACGTATCTTCTTTCTGTACTTCTTTACTGAACAGTTCAGTGTCAAAGTTTTCTGGTTCCACAGCACCACGCATGGCCATTTTAAACTTACACAACGAGCACTACATCAACTCCAGCCACAGCTACACACTTCACCAACACAGAGAGCGATGTCCACAGGGCAAACGCGCAGATGTCTGTGATCCTATAGTAGCAACTGCAGTCAACCGCGGCGACTACCGCCCTCATGTGTACGCTCTCATGCCAACTCTAGTAACTTCAACCGCACGAGAGCCGCGGCGGTCGAAGGGAAATCTACGACCGCCGCGGTTTGTTGCGGTTGATTGGAAGTGGGCGGTTGCATGTGAACGGTCCCATTTGCTCCTTTGTACTTTCAACCGCCGCGGTTCCCGCGCAATGGCAACCGCGGCGGCTGCCGCCCTCATGTGTACAGGGCCTAATGTAAATGCTTAAAAGATTGACATACTTTTATCATACACTAAAATGGTGTATTGCATTTTTTTTTATTTTATCTTTGTATGGATTTTAAGCATTCACCTTACAAACATGAGTATTGATTAATAACTGTGAGGTAAAATAAGATGGGCCAACAAACAAAGGCAATAGAGTAGCAATATATTGTAATTAACTAAATACAATTAATATTAGGACAAAACTAAAATAAAAAATAATACAATATTAAAAATCCAGTCAATGTTCATGGCTCCAGGTACCGGTAACTTAATGTTTCAAAATGTGTGCAGACATTAGCAGTGTACGAAAGCACAGAGAAGTAAAATATTTCTCTGTGATGAAAGCAAGATTTCATAATAATCAATGACGTTCAATTTGTTCTTTAGTTCCTTATCACTGAATAGGCCTAACAAAATTAAACGATTAAAACATATTATTAGTAACATTTATGTTATTGAAATGAAATGAAATGAAATGTTTATTCGTCACATAAGTTTACAAGATTGTGATTTTCACATATAAACATATGACATGTCAATACCACTTTACTATCTAATAATACCTTATGCTAAATTCTTTGTTTTTATCAATCCATAAAACCTAAAGCTAAGTTTTTATAAAATCATCTAGGGAATAAGGACACAAGAGAATGAGATAAGATTTTAGTTTTCTTTTAAAGGATGACATATTTTCATCAGTTTTAATTTGATCTGGGAGGTTATTGTAAATTTTCCTACCCATGTACCATGGCGATCCTTCATACAGAGCTGTTCTATGCACAGGATATTGAAGATCATTCCTGTGTCGGGTGTTATATTGATGAGTGTAATTTTTCAACATAAATTCCTTATAATTTCTTTTTACAAAGATGCACAGTTGAAAAATATAAACTGCATAAATTGTCAAGAGTTTCATCTCAATAAAAAGGGGGCGGCAAGAGGAACGTGGTCTGGTATCAGCTAAAATTCTAATGGCAATTTTTTGTAAGATAAAAATATTCTTGGTAATGGGGGAGCTGCCCCATGAGATAATACCATAGGAAGACCTAGACATAAAATAAGAATGATACACAGCAAGAGCTGCATGCAAACCCGAAGACTTATAAACCACCCTTAGACCAAACAGTGCTTTTGCTAGAGACAAGCTAATTTGTATTTGATGATCAGACCATTTTAGATTTTCATTTATGTTTACACCCAGGAATTTAGTATTTGCAGAAGACTTTATGGAATCACCTGATTTTAGATTGATTGTTATCTCACCTGCCTTCAGTTGTGGATTATGGAAATGAAGAAGATGAGTTTTGGAACAGTTTAGATGTAGTCCGTTTTGTGCAAACCAAGTTATCATGGAATCTAAATCTCGGGATGCAATGTTAGTTGCAGAAAAAATAGAAGGTGCTCTTACTAGCATTGTTGTGTCATCAGCGAATTGAATAATATTGGAAGAAATTGAAAAAGACAAGTCATTGATGTAGAGGATGAACAGAAGAGGCCCCAATTTAGATCCCTGCGGAACACCATGGGTTACTGAGCTCCATTCAGAAAAATGTTTGACACCGGATTTATCTTTGATGACAACCTGCTGATATCTGTTAGTGATGTAACTAGAAAACCATGAAAAAGATGATCCAGATATCCCATACAATCTCAATTTCTCCAAGAGAATGTCATGCCTGACACAATCAAAGGCCTTAGACAAATCACAGAAAACACCAAAGGTTCTCTGTGATCCGTCCAAGGCCTCCACTGCCTCAGAAACTAGATCGACTATTGCATCAGACGTGCTTCTCTCCCTCCGAAAACCAAATTGATTCTTGTTCAATAAATTGTTTGATTCAAGAAATGGAACAATTTGTGAGAGAACAACCTCTTCAAATATTTTTGAAAACACAGGTAAGAGAGCCACTGGTCGGTAGTTTGAAATTTCTTCCGAGTCCCCCTTTTTAAATATAGGTATAATTTGAGCATACTTCAATTTGTCGGGGAAGACTCCTGTCAGCAGTGAAATGTTGATAGAATGAGTGAGTGGTTTTATAATTGAAGAATTACTACTACTTAATTACTAATTATTACTTGTTCAATACAATTATTGAATGATTAATAATACATTTTAATAAGTATGAACTCAAATTTTTCGGCCCCACTTGTCTCACGGGCCTCTTAGCTCGCCGTTTCCACTCACCAGTTCGTGAACCCCCATCGGCTCCTGCGCCCCCCCCCCCCCCGGATTGCTGGCCCTTTAGTTACGCCACTTTAATGGTATCAACTTTGATGCTTGAGCTCATGTAATGAGGACCTGAAGAACAATTCTCGCGCCCAAGACCTCCTTTCTCCACTCCGATTTTTTAATCTACTGCCGATGTCGTCGGGAGAACGCCTACCCTCCAATCATCAGTGAAATATGTTCAATCAACATCCCCATTGGCTCCCCTCTTCTAATCAGCCTCGAGAGGGCGTGGTTATTACCTGATGGTAAGCAGTTTTTGTTTTCTGCATGTTAACAACTCTCAGTAAAGCTGGGAACAATATTGTTTCTTTTGTATTTTTCCCATCGGTTCTGATTTTTTTAACTTTGCAGATTGAAATTCAATATTTGTCTGACTTGTTCTCAGCCAGGTTAGGTTAGGTTAGGCTTGGAACGTATGATCTTGCAATTTAAATCCATGTGTGTAGCCCCTGAGCTGTTGGACATAATGAAGACTAAATTATGATCTTGCATTTATTTAAAAAAATCCTTTACCGAAGTCAGTGTATGCTGGCTTCCATTGTTCTAAAGACTGTTAAGCGTAAAATTGTATAATCAAAATTTCCACATGTTTATTATACTATTATGATAAATTTAGTTTAGTATCTTCTATATATTATCATAGATAAAACATACTCCCTTAGTAGATTTCTCATCCTAATAGAACAGCTGAAGACAATTTTATTGTTAGTTCTGTACGGTTTATGTAGAGGTTGTGTTTTGTTTACAATTTGTTTCCCATTAATACAGTCATTTAAAACCTCGTTTAACCAAATAATACGATCTAATCATAAACAATAAATTGTCCCCTAGTTATTTAACCAAACAGTAAAGCACAAATCAATAAATTAACCCTAAAATAATAGAAAAAAAATTTCGTCGGCACTAGCGCCCAGTGTGGCGTACATGAACTAGACATGAAAAACGAGCTTCAAAATTTACAATGGGATGAGAAGTCTACTTGTGTTGGTTAGTCTATGATATTATTTAACAGGCCAACATGAATTTCGTGATAATAGTTTTAAAGCTGCCACGCATCCGATGACCATGTTTAAGGTGTCTTTAGATAGCTCGTAGTACGTAAATTTGCCATCAAACTAAACATTTTTGAAATTTCCACCAGGGCTCTGCCCCAGTGGCCTCCAAAGTTCCCACCATGTTATTCTTAGGGAGAAAATGTTCGTTTACATTTGAACAGATGAATACTTTGAAATTTACTCTAATATTAACACCTGGTTGTACTAAAATTTAAATTAATTAAGGATTATGTACAGTAGAACCCCGGTTAACCGAAATAAAGGGGGGAGAGCCGTTTCAGATAACCAATTTTTCGGTTAACCCATCATATGCTCAAATAGCCAATGTATCACCACAGTGTGTAGGAAAAATGAATTTAAGAGAATGTCTAATAATTCAGTATTTTATTTCAGCTACAAACATTTTACAATGGGATAGGAAATACTTTAAACCAGACAACTGAAGTTATTTAATACTACAAAACAGATGTTATGTGCAATAAAGAATTTTCATTTGTCATTTTAAGCATTTTACAGCCCTATATTATTTTTAGAGCCATTTCGGTTAACCAGAATTCGGTTAACAGGGGTTCTACTGTATTGGATTTGTTGAAAAGATAAAAAGTTACTCTATTTTTGTGGTTTAAAAATTTGTTTTTCACTGCAAAACACGTTTTAAAGGTTCAATGAATTTAAATCCAACTTACAACACAGCAGTTACACTATTTATGTACTGAAACCAAATAACAGGATCTATAAGGCAAGCATATTTCTTTAAAACCTTTTTTTCTCAGCTTGTGTGCATTGCAGGTAAAATCTACGCATACTGTTAGAAAGATATTTTTCTGTAGATCTGCAGAATCCATTTATAAATTAAAATTGGCTCAAAAATAAGCACAAAAAATGTATTTGAAAACTTAAAAAAATCATTAACATGGACCTTATGAGTTGCCATGATGGTGACAAAGTAACAACGAAATATAAACAGAAAATCAAAACAAATTCCAATCACGTGTTTTGTTTCCAGCAAGAGGTGAAAATAGAGTAGTCTGTACATTTGATATTTTTTGTTGAGTTTTCGACCACTGAACGACCTCTAGTATTATTTGATGGATATCAATATCAAAGGAACAATATTTTTTCCCAGTTTCATCCATTGTAAGGGTTGGCACCTGCACTCTTCTGTTTGATTATTTATGATAGGTGCTCGAGAATAATGATCAGAAGTTATTGATATTAGTTTTAAAATTAATTCCCAAAAAGAATATTTGATTATATCGGAAGGTAGGATGGGGGGGTCCCAACATTTCTGGAATGCACTTAAACAGTAAACAGACAAATATTGAACCACAGTAATGCACTTAAAGTATTAACAGGCTACTCCATTTCCCAGAGATTATTTTGGGTGAAAACAAACATACAAACACAAAACACAATACATTTTGTTTTGTTATACACATTTTCATTGCAATAAAAAGTCATTAAGTTGATAAATGATGCACTTAAAACAAAAACACCCTAATTGCCAATGATCAAATATTGTTTATTCATGGTGGTCCATAATAACCGCTAACATTTTGATTTGTGACAGCTCAGCTAATTCATGGGTTAGAGAGATTATTTTTGCGTTGAATGGTTCCTTAATTAATAGCATTTTTTGTAATTATAAGTTGTTCCAAACTGTTCCACTTTTCTAATGGAGGTGGCATAAAAAATAAATAGTGTGTATAATCTATGCAATGTTTGTTTTGCGGGTGTTAAGTAATAAATTAAACAACGTTGTGAAACATAGTTTATTAAATAAAAAAAAATCATGAATCTAAGTTTTATTCATATTTTTGAATTAATATTTGAGTTTTAATAAACTGTACTTGTTATTTTACACAGCGTTGTTTTATTTATTACTTTACCCCCGTAAAACAATCATGGTATAAATTTCACTCGTTATTTATTTTTCAAGCCACCTCCATTAGCGAAGTTAAACCGTTTGAACAACTTATAATTACAAAAAATTCTATTAATTAAGGAACCATTCAACGCAAAAATCATCTCTCTAGCCC